GGGCAGGGCTCTGCTGCAGCACCCCGGTGGCCTGAGGACGGTCCCTGCCCATCCCACGGCATCCTCAGGTCCATCTCTGCCCATCCGTTGTCTCCGCGGGGGAATATCCCCACGGGGGCTTTTGGAAACCGCCTGGAAATGGCCAGGTGTGTGGGCAGCGAGACCTCGGCTCTCCCTTCTCAAAGCCGTGGGGAAGGTGTTGGTGCAGATGTGGGTGATGTGTCCTGCGGATGGTGTCCGCCTGGCCCAAACCCCTCCTCCGCTGGACCATGTCCCCCCCATGCCACTGCGGAGCCACCTTGTCCCCGGCTGCGGCAATGCCGGGGCGAGCAAAGGCTCTCGGTGCCCGGTGCTTAACTGGGGGGGTCCGGCAAACCCCATCCCGGGCGGACAGCGGGCTGGAGCTCCCGGGGATGCTGCAGTCCACTGATGGGCTCATGTTCTGCCCCGTAGGTTGCCCCCCGGCCGCATTCCTTCACCAATGGCTATGAGCTCTTCGAAGTCTCCGAGGAGCGGGATGAGGAGGTGGCTGCTTTCTGCCACATGCTGGACGTGTGAGTACCTGGCCGGGGCTGGAGCATCCCACTGCAAAATGCCCCAAAACAGGCATGTTTTTGACGGGTGGGGTAAAACCCAAAGCAGGGCAGCAGCTCAGCCCTCTCCCTGCCTCTGCAGGCTGCGGTCCGGCTACAGCACCAAGGACTATTCCCTCACCGGCTTGGTGTGGAACGCCGTCAACCTCAGCCCGGAGCAGCTGGGCCACGGCGTCAGCCTGAAGGTGACGGTGGTGTGTGACAGCCTGCGGGAACCCCTCACCTTCACCTGCGACTGTAAGTGTCCCACACCGCCCAGCCGCTCGCCCGTCCCCCCCTCGCAGCAATCGGGGGGTGATGTGAAGCAGGGACGAACCCCGGCAACACCTCAGGGGAGGACCTGGAGGGGGGATCCCACCATCCGCAGGGCTTAGGATGCTGCTCCCTCTCCCCGCAGGCTCCTCCACCGTGGACCTGCTCATCTACCAAGCGCTGTGCTACACGCACGACGAGCTGCACACCATCGACGTGGAGGACTTCGTGCTCAAGATCTGCGGTTTGGAGGAGTTCCTGCAGAAGTGAGTGTCGGGGAAGAGGCGGGTTTGGGGGGGGGGGGGGGTGACAACACAACG